GATGTTGGACACTATCAAATGTCTCTTTAAAGTCGATATGGACTACATGCAGCACATTGCCTTTATCAACTGACCTAGTCCAACGTTCCAAACAGCAGAGCAAGTTAGTCACGCAAGACCTGCCACTACAAAACCCATGCTGTGCATCAGATAATAAATTATGCTGCTCTAGGAAGCGCATTAGTTCTCGCTTAATTATTTTTTCCATGAGTTTGCAGCAGATGGAGGTGAGGCTAATTGGTCTGTAATTGTTTGCAAAGGCCTGGCTGCCTCCTTTGCACAGTGGTGTGATCCGCGCAGATTTCCAGTCGGCGGGGGGGGGCATCTTGCTGCCAATAGAAGCGAAGAGACGATGTTCGTTTAGTTTTCACCCATCTCGGTTGTTACTCGTCACCGTCGCGAACGACAACCTCCACCGCGTGCCCCACGAGTTGAGCGCAGCATCGGTGACTTGCGTGGGGATTATCTCGCGGTGGGATGGACTTGCGAGGCATCTGCCGCACCGTCTCCCTCGCTCACCTTGGTCCGGTCGTAGGACAGTTAAAAGACCCGTCTGCGCGTGCCACACACGACTCAGTCTCCACAGCATGCAGTAGGTTCCTGTGTGGGCGACTGGAGTCACACATCAGTGATCATTCCATAGCAGTCACGCTGAGGAGCCATTTTAATTGGACACCCAGTCCTGAGGGGCGGCCGAGTTATCTTAACAGTTGGCAGTCTTTCAAGTCACTACTTTTAGCGCATCCGGATAGATCTAAGCACGACGACTTTGTTATTGTGAAGAATGCACTGATGTGCGGTGATAATGAATTCTCCGGTGTCAACCTCATCTCCCCTCTTTCCTCCCGTGCAGTAGTTAACCGTCCGGGCATTTCAGTCATGTCAGCATGGGTGTAATGACTGATGCAAAGCGAAGACCAATGTCTGAAGTGGGTCACATGCGCGTGTACGACAGTGGTTATGCGCACGCACAGGTTTTTCACTGTTCGGCAAATGTGTGCCGTGAATCCATCTGACCCGCGTTTTGGGCAAGCACCTCTGCACGTTTTGTGTGACGTACGACAATTCGACCGTCGTGACCGACGATATCCACCGTGTGCTCCACAGCAGGGTGGGGGCGGGGACGGTGACTTCGGCGCGTTGATAGTGATAGGGGACTTGCTCAGCATCCATCGCGCACTCCTCCTCCGTCTGAATCCGGTGTCGCGACAGAGTCTAGAATGAGGTCTTGAGAGCATGCTTATGTCTGATACGGTGAGAACCGGCGTCTAGGCGTCCTATCACAGCCTGTGTTGACCAGGATTTTACACGCCATGAAAAAAGGTGGGCGGCTCGGATGACAATAGGCGCCGCGAGAGCTTGCAGTTTGGCGTGCCACCACACCACAAACGTTGGCAGTTGTTGTGGTCGCGCATTCCGAATAACGCCTGTCAGCTCCAATCTAGCCCCCGTTCTGGTTCAGCGTATCTACGTGGACAAACGTATACAGTCCGCTATCAGAATTTCTGTTCGTTGTGAACTAATTTATAAATTTTTTGCGATAATTGTTGATTCGATCTTGGTTTATATTGTCTGCGCTGAACGGTTCCATCCAAAACTATTTTAGAAATCAGTTTGAAGCGAACTTACCACGTCTGGCTTGTTAGCGTTTTTGTAAGGCTTTGTGCCGGTGTGAGGGAGGGTAAACCCGTTGTGTATGGAAGACTGTATTCGCTCAGGCGACAGGGTGATGCAGGGGGGGGGGAGGGAGTTATGGGCTTAACGGGGCTACTAAACGCCGCGAAGGCTCCCGACAGTCATGCTACGTCGGATTGACAGTTTCTCTGTGAGGCGACGAGCAGTCCGTTGCCGTTAGCTGCTGTGATAGTGTCTGCCGTTACACTCAGCGATGAGTAAGGTGTAGCCTCATGTCACGGTAAGCCTTGTCTAGCTCTCTTAGGGCAGATTGAACCACAAGATTAACAACATCCAAGGGTATACATATGGCCTTATACACGAATTCTAAATGGTCTAAGAAGCTGGAAGAGAATGGGCTAATGGCATACAGAGCCACTCGTTCAGCTATTGCGGAAGAGCATGCGATTGGATGGAAGGATTTAGAAATGCGCTGACAGTTGGTAATCCTTTAAGCCGCTACTTTTAGCGAATCGGAATAGGTGCAAGGATCGATTCTCCAGTGTCGGTCTCACACTCTTCCCTCTCTCCCATGCATCAGTCGACTGTTTGAGCAGTGGCTGACGCGACAAGAAGACCAACGTCTAAGACGTACTATACGCGCTTCGGAGTACTTGCACTTGTACTTGATACAGCTGCGATCATGCCTGATCTAGCCGGCCTCGATGATGTCACGAACTGTACCTCTTTACGCGTGACGATCCACGGTAGCAGCTCTGGACAGTTCAACCCATTCCCTTCGCCAACGACGGAGACCGAATACCGGAGGTCCAAGAACCACCTCCATGTCTTGATGAACTGTGTCGAGCCAGGTTTTGAACTGACCTCCTCTTCGACACCTCCAATGGGGCAACGGGGCCGGATCGAGGGCAGTAACACTGGGCTCCTGAGGTGGACGACGAAGAACATGCCTGAACCACCTCAGTCGTCCTTTCTTGGATGGCCTGAGTTATCCTTGCGATGTCGTCGCAGCGAGCGCGGACTGTCTCGTTTGAGACGAAGTCGGTCAACTTCGCTCGAAGGATGGTCCTCAATCATAGGTGGTCAAATGCCCTCAGTTTTCGCCCGTCCTCCACGCGCAAAGCCCAACATTCACAACCATAGAGAAGAACAGATCGGACAGATGCACGGTACGCGTGAATCTTAGTGGCGATGGAGAGGTCGCGTCGGATCCATAGGCATTTTCTAAGGCTCGAGAAAACCCAGCGGGCAGCATCAATCCCAGTCATCAGGAACAACCTCGTCTCCCCACGCTCGCTCAATCACCTCATGGAGCCAGGGCGCCAGTGTCGACACAAGACTTAAAGTTTTCAGCGGGTATACCGTCCTCTCCGGGTGCCTTCGGAGTCCAGACTCCCCCTATTTGTGGCATAAAATCCTGTCCAGGTGTTTGCAATGGACCAGGAGAGGGCGTGATGGTACACCTAGGTGCGGGTTTACTCGCCTTGCCAGCTATCTGCCCCCTCCCGCCCCCGGTTTTCTTGACTGTGTCTTGACACCGAGCGCAGATGGGGGAGGAGGAGAGAGTGGGATGGATGCTGCGCAAATCTACACTCACTATAAACGAGATCACGCGCAAGTCACAGTTCCTGTTCTCACGGTGGACATCGTCGGTCACGACGGTTGAACGGTAGTTTCGGACGTGCTCGAACTCAACGCAACCCGAGTGACACGTGTCGTGAGCCAGCTTGTCTCCTGTTTCAGTCATACGTATCTGCAATACAGCCTGTTGCGTGGCCTACGACAGTATAGTAAAAAATAACTAATGTAAGCCCGAAATCCATAGGAGGCCTTGCTAAACACCGGACAGTCAGCTGACTGTTTCATATCAACTGAATCCCCGACCACATCTTACCGCTGAGTAGTCAACAAAGACATCGAAGCGTCATTCTGAAATGCCAGAGCCCCAGGTCTGACGGTTCTGAATGGACCCCCTTTCCGTTCACAAATGTGTTTACTCCTAGTTGGTTTTCTCACCATAGCAGTGTCCGTTTTTTGGGACGGCTAAGACAAGAAGACATCTTTATATCTTGTAAAGAGTCATGGTGGTTTGTGTCGGAGTCATCGGACATGCAGTTGAAGCAACTGCTAACCTTTAAGACACCGGACACCATTACTCGCCACATACACAATGACAAGGCCTCACAGACGAATTGTATGGTCATTAGTGTATATTTAAAAATTTCCGGTCGAGACCCAAGTTTTAGCTTTGTCAAACACTGAAAGAACCAGAATTAAAAATTGATGTTGCCTAGCACGATCTTTAGACTCGTTGCCTTATAATTGATGAGGAAGATCGGCTCTGAGCGGGCGAATATGTCAGGTGTGCAATTCGGCCCGATTTCCGCCATATTTTCTCACCTGCGGACGAGGCAGTGGGCACCAGGGTAAATGTGTAGGCCAGCCACCCTGTATTCATTTCTTCCTAAAATAAAGGAGACGTCTCGTTACTGATTAAATAATCACGCTGAGAGCACGCGACGCCTGTTCGCACAACGGGAATTGTGACTTGATCTGTACCGTTTTCGTTATTCATCCCTGCTTACCCGGCTTCATACTACTTACGCTCAATTAGTAAGCTGTCGGGCGAGCGGGCAAGAACACAAAAAACTTCTCATCCCATTACGCACACCGTCTCGTGTCTTTCCGCCATAGGACAATGGCATCAAAGCTGCAACAGTTAGGACGCCAGCACTGCCCTTCCCCTGTCTCGGTTTTACTGCATACGGTCTGTTCGAGCCAATGCTTGCTGACGCCTGCCGCCTTCTTGGTGGCAGCGGTCAGCTGGAAACTGTCGCCGCACTCTACGCCAAGGCCGTCGAGCGACTGCGCGGAGATCTGCTTGCGGCCCTGAGCAGCCTGTTCCAGCTCTCTGTCCGGCGGGGTGGGCAGCAGCAGGAGGAGGAGGAGATGGACATTCTTTCGGACGCGGTCGCTCTGCTTCTCTCCGATGCTGCTTCCCTCCAAGACGATCTCTCCATCCCCGTTGCCAAGCAGCGATCATAGTATCCCTCTCTTTAGTCTGATTAACGTCCTCAACCGCCTGCCCCTCAATGTGAAAGCCCCATTCTACTTTTATGTGTGTGTGTAAATAATGTAGATTACTTTTGGAATCAAGGACTCATTTTCGTTGCGTACAGAGAGACATTTACAAATGAAGGCGAAATTTCAATTTCCAGGTGTATGCATAAGTGAAGAAGAAGAGGGGTCGAGCACCGGAACACTGTGTTTATTGTTGTCCTGAGCTTTCGGACTCGTGCAGGAATCCATCGTCAGAGGTAGTAGCAGAAACAGGACAAACGACAGTTATAGGGCATGTAGGCCAATCATCGACCGGCGGCGCAAGACTGGAGGTGACTACGCAGGACTCTGTACGCCGGCGCCAGATCGATAAATCGATTGACCGAGTTCTCATCCGAGGCCCAGGCTTCAATCAATTCTCGGCCTGTTTCGTTTCCGGCGTGGGCGACTATTTCGGTGGCTGCGAAGTGACCCATTTCGTAGGTGTGAGCGGGCATTTGTGATAATGCGTCGCCTCGTCGCACAGCCAGCTTATGTTCATGTATGCACGATCCGAGCATGCGTCCAGTCTGTTCTGTGTAGTTACAAGGACAATTCTGACACGGAATGCGATACACTACTCCAGATTGCTCTTCAGGCTTTAAGCAGTCTTTGATTTTCATGACCCTGTTGCACATGGTGGCTTTGGGGCGGTGTGCAATTCCAACACCCAGTTCTGCAGCAATGCGCTCGGTCGCTTCTGAAACGCCCTTGATGTATGGCCGAGAATGCGATATCGTCGGTGGTGTTGATGTTCGAGTTCTCTGGTGGCGACCGCTTAGGCAGCGAATTATGAATGCCCTCGGATAGCCATTTTTCACAAACTGGTCGCGGAGAGAACGGGTCTCACGCGCTCTGTCCTCCGGTTTGCTGCAATGAGTTTGGATTCTTTTGAAGAGCGTCTTCACACAGCTTCGTTTGTGAGCCACCGGATGGTTGCTGTGAAAACTGAGAAGCTGTGTGGTGTTCGTTGCCTTCCTATAAACCGTCGTTTCAAGTTCACCGTTAAGGTTTCGTCTGACAAGCACATCCAGGGAGGGCAACTGCGGTTCCTGTTCTTCCCTCGTGAATTTTATATCAGGGAAGACTGCGTTGAGCAGGTTGTGGAAATGTTGCAGCATGCCCTTCTTTACGATGACGAACGTTTCGTCTGCGTAACGGCGCCAAAACACCGGTTCATGCTGGATGAAGACAATCTTTTCTAACTCCTGTAGGACCAGTTCTGTCACTAAACCGGAGACCAGTGAGCCCATTGGAGTTCCCTTGATTTGTTCATAGGTCTCTCCCGCAAGAATGAAGAAAGTTTGTTGGCAGAATTCAAACAGTTTCATGAGGTGTTCAATTTTGAGTGCATTCTGAGTCTCATCGTACGCCTCTTCAAGTATCTTGCGCAAGACTTCGCGGGCCAAGTTTGGTGGGATGGACGTGAATATCGACGTCACATCGAAGGAGACCATGATTTCGTCCGACTGAATCCTCCGACCTCGGAGGTCTATGAGGAATTGAGAGGCTGATCGAACCGAGCTAGTCGAATTGCCTTGGAGGAACTTCAGTTTTGAGTACATCCACTTTGCCAAATTGTAGGTGGGGCTGCCTTTTAGGGCAACGATTGGCCGAAGTGGAACATTTGCTTTATGGATTTTTGGCAGACCATAGAATCGAGCTAGAGACATAGAGGGCCATTTGGTTCGCTGCCTTAGAGATACAAATTAGGTGAAGGTTCAAGTGTCTGTCCTCTTTGTCCTGATACACTTTGGGTACCCTTTGTAACTCTGAGCTGGAAGCTGGTAGCCCCCTGACAACCTTCAATGCGTAAGACCCTGCTTGTATAAGTCTTACCACATTCTGTTGAGAGAATGCACTCGTTTTTCGGGGAATAATGTGTTCCTCTGATTGAAAAGGCGTCTTTCGACGTTAAAAGAACTCACCAGCTCTTGCGTACTTCTAACCACAGCCTGCTGTTTTACTGGTACCTAGGGGTTTCCAAATTGCGTACTTTGTACGTTCAATTTAAGCTTTTACGACATTGGGGAGGACTCACTTGGGGCCCAGAAACGCTTGCAATATATATGTATACTCCGAAACAGCATCAGAGATCCTGTTGGCGCTATGTTGCTTACATGGGCTGCGCGATATACCATGTTTGACAGCTCAGGCACCATCCAAAAGCTGCGAGGGACCATCGTCGACTCCCTGGCGTTCTCTGGAAAATACTGTGATTGACCGATCTCATGAATTTTGGCTGAAATTCAGATATTCAAATATATCTCGTAGAAACCACGAACAGAAATATGCCTTCTTTCAGTCGTTCGATAGAGAATCACGACATCTCTATATTTTATACTCGACGAAGGAATATAGTTAGGTTTTAAAAAGTTTCTAATCATGGGATTTTTTAAGACCGCACAATCTCCTTTCATATAGCATCGTACCGCCTAAGTAATCCTTCCTAATCGAAAACGCATTTTTGAATCCCAGCCAACATTTCATGAGATCGGTCACTTACTGTACTCCAGTATTGGAATTGTAACTTTTTAGTTTTCTCAGAAATTAATCACTAACTTGGAGTAAACCAGTCTATTTGAGACTTATGGACTCGGGCTATGCCACTTGGGTTATAATTTAAACATAGGGAAATTTCTCAAAATTACAAACGTCTGGCAAACCACCAGGCATCTTTACTTCCAAGAGAGATTTTAATCAAATATCATTTCAGCGAGCCAAGTAGAAGGGCCTCGTAAATCAGTGGCGAAAACGCACACAACTTGAGTCGTCCACATTTAGCGAATGTGTTCTTTGCGAGCGTCCGTAGGGGGCGAATGCGGATCTGGATTGCAGGAGTTACCAAAGAGACCCTTTATCTCCAGGGACATATTTTAATGTTCCAACCAAAGCTTCATGACGTTTCCGCGTGCCTTACCCGGTCAGCCCTTTCATAATCTGGTTCCGTGTCTTTTGTGTCGGGAACGTAATCGCCGAGCAAAACCGGTTTGTTCTTACCACCGTGCTAGTGCAAGCCCATTGCTGAAATACTGTCAAACGTTCGTCTGGCTGCCTGCAACTGCAAGAGACGCGGACATGCCTTCTGGGTCCTTAGCTAACAAGGGATTGGCTGCTCTAAGGCCGTTGGATGCACGGACAGGGCGTTGAGGGAAGTCTGCCGCCTTGCTGATTGGTTGACATCGACCGGGAATGATGGTTTCAGAGAACGCTTTCATTTCTCGCATTACATGGACGAGTGCGGGCGGGTTTGTTGCCTAATACTTTTGTGCTTTTTTACTTTAAAGCATTTCATTTTGGTAATATGGATTTTGGAGTTGCGGTATGTGTAAATGGCTGAAAAATCCCCCCAATTCAGCGTCAAAGGTCATTACTTTATGCCGGACGGCTGGCTACAGGTTCACCCATTGAACGCTGCTTTGGAAAGTGCACGCATTTATCCCCATATACGGCAATAACTAGTCGGCAGCTTAACGCTTATGACGATAATTCCTGTGGCATTAACTTAAAAAAACCTGCCGAAATAAAGTCATGACAGTCTTTCCGACTGTTTTTCAGGACGAACGATGCTTCTGGCCGTCTTGTTGCTGCCCAAGTGCGATTATAATAGTCTGCGTCAACGTTTACCGATTCTACTAAGGGCTGGGGCGAGTTAGCTACCAACCGTCATTTGGCTGCCATCCTGAAGCGGCAGTGTGCCACCTATCCATAGAATCATTTAGTAAGCGCTGAAGTGTTTTCCAGAAAAAAAGTGTTTCGGTTTGGAAGAAAGCCTAGGGTTTTCTGCCTTCGTTGGAAATTCCGCCTGACCGCACTCACAGGTCGTTTATACGCATGCCAAAGTCCACCATGGGACCACACCAACCGCTCGCTACATGAAAAACACCATATCGTCTTGGAAAGTTCAATCAAACAGAATGTCCATCGTAATTAGAGTTACATGATATACCAGCTACTTTGCACACGTCTTGGGCTGCCCCTCCAACGCAGGGTAAGAAAAGTTGTGAAAGTAGCCGCCATGTTAAGTCATTTGGAGACATAAGGGCTATGCATAAAAGCTGGATTGAATTCCCCAAACTATGAATTCACCGAGTCTTTTTAGATCGAAACAACTCAAACGTTGATGGAAGGTTGCCTTCATAAGCAGACTGTAAGGGATGGACTCCTCGTTAATTCCCTTCAGAACCTTCAGTCGTCCTGCATAAATGCTAGAGGGCAATCAGCCATAGCCCCTCTGAGTGAACTTACTATAAAAAGACTAGGGAACTGTGGTAATCAAATTGTCCGGTGGTTATAATCCTGAGCTTCCATAGCTACTCTGACTGGTAAGAACAAGGGATACTGGGATGGCCATATCTGCCTTCAGCCAGCCACTCCAGGCTCAAATAACCCGGGATCCGATCCCCAATTCGTTGGTCACTGGATGTTAAGTCCAGTCCTCTACCACTGATCCAGGTGTTTGTTGTCCTGTGGGTTTGCAGATCAGGTTACGATCATGCTCCTCCGTTTGGGCCATGCGGCTCACTCTAGAGTAGTTGCACGCATTCGCATAGGGGCTGGTAATATTACAAGGAGACTGAGATTGCCATTTCTGGCATTTTAACCGTTGTTAACCAACCTTGGCCAAGCCCAGGTTCGGATGAACTGGAGTTTGAATTGCGTAACAAAAGTCCTCTGCTCAAATACATCGGTTGATGCGCAGTGGTCGACAGCTCGAAGATTATCCAAATCAAAAGTCAAAGAGACAGAGTTGGTTCGAAAGACTTGATCGAGGCGAGGAGACGTACACGCAACGCAGCAGATAGTTACGGGAAGCCGTCTCACCAGCGAGAGACTGTTGTTGAGGTTTGCTGGCCCTAGCGCGGGGTGCATGCGTGCGCCCCTTGGCTTTACCCGCCTGCAGCCACTCAGCGGAGGATACAGTGTTAATTGGCCCTGAGCTGTTGCCATCCGGGCGCCAGGTCACACGCAGCTCAAGCAATCGATTGGTAGAGTGCGTTAGGGGGCCTGGAGGCGGCATGTGTGAGCGGCCGCGCTAACGATTTCGGAAAAAGATACGGCATCCGCAATGGCCACTCCCTGTCTACCCAGTCTTGTAAGCACTCTCTTATACAACATTGTTCTTTCATCTGAAGGAATCGAACTGAATTATAAGTCGTTAAAGAATTTGTGTGAGTCCAAAGTGGGCAGATTTATGTACCATATTTTGCCCGCGTCTTTCGTTCGCGCGTACTGGTCCAGAATCCAAATATCCGACGGCAAGGACGCAGTATGCCACCTTAACATATTGCAACCCCGTCCGTTTTTTATAACCGACGTTTTCGGGCTCTCGTAACCAGATGGGATGCAACCTGCTTCTTTCGTGAAAGCAAGCGGAAGAACTGCGAAAGATGCCCAACTTTTCTTGCACTGTCAGATGTCGTGATACCCTCATCATTTCTGGGGGCTTGGGTTCTTGGTACGTGTGCTCTTTTGCAAGTGGCCGTAGGGGAATTTAGCACGAGGACGCAATATGCCACCTCAACATTTATCGGAATGCCTACCTACTAGTACGCTCTCCTTTCTGCCGCTTAACCCCATCTATGAAACCTGTATTACAGTAGGTGGGCTAACTCATGAAGTGTCAACCGAATTTCCGAAAGGCGTTTTCGTTTCGAAAAGATTAATTAGGTAAGCTTATAAAACAATTCAGCCTGCAACATAATTATATAATAATTCAATTACCTCAGGATGCCACCTTTCGAACGAACTTCATTCTGACTGCAGGCCAAAACTGTACTTTGTGAAAATGACTACTTAAGTAGCATGCATTTTTCTCATTGATTTTTGATACCCCTAAATGTCCAATTATATTTCATGGAAAGCATGCATAAAATATTCCTTCTTTTGCTCATTCGTTAGAAAATTGCGTCCTATTTCAATTTTCTACTCGAAGGAAGGGTATTATTCAGTTTTTAAAAAAAGTTTTCCAATTCCAAAATAATTTGGAACCCGATCTTCCGTCAAACCTGCATTCAGGGTTTCCAAACTACCAGGCGTATATTTTGCGCGTACGTAAAACCATGCATTTTTCTACGGTATCAAGAAGAGACCATATGGGGTTCGTAAAAGTTAGCAGTGAATTCGACCCATATTAGTAACTTTACAAACTACATGGGTAAATGCAGAGACTTACCCCAGGATGCCGGCTTTCGAATGAACTTCCTTCCTGCACTCTGCAAAAAGTGACTAATTAAGTAGCATACATTTCTCTCATTGATTTTCGATACCCCTAAAAATTCAATTATATTTCATGGAAAACATGCACAAAAATATTCATTCTTTTGCTCATATGGTAGAAAATTACATCTTCTTCCAATCTTATACTTGGAGGAAGGGTATAATTCGGTTTTCAAAAACGTTTCCGATTCCCGAATAATTTTGAACCAGCTTTACCGTTACACTTGGATTCAGGGTTTCCAAACTGCAAGCCGTATAATTTCCGCGTACGGAAAAGCACACATTTCTCTATGGTAATAAAGGGAGACCATATAGGGTTCATAAAGTTTAGCAATGGATTTGATCCATATTGTTAACTTTACAAGCCACAGTGGTAAATGCAGAGACATGACGATTGATGAACGGCCATTTCATGGTATTTAAAAGTTCCACAATTAGAAACATTTTCGAAACCGAATTATGTCCCTCCTTCGAGTATGACATTGGAAGAATACGTAATTATCAACCGAATGAGCCAAAGAATGAATACTTTTGTGCATGTTTTCCGTGAAATATGATTGGACTCTTAGGGGCATCGAAAATCAATAAGAAAAATTCATGCTACTTAAGCAGTCATTTTTTACAGTATTGTTTTTGCATACTGCCGGAAGGCAGTTCATTCGAAAGCCAGCATCCTGAGGTAACGGAAATATTATAGAATTATGCTGTAGGCTGACTAGTTTTACAACCCTACTTAATTAATCTTTTCAAAAGGAGAACGCTTTTAGGAATTTCGGTTGACATTTCATGAGTTAGCCCATTTACTGTACATGATGACCTGGCTTTTGTTCCCGGAGTGGAGTCACATACTGCGTCTTTGCCCCACGAGTGGGCAATTGATAGAAAGCTTTTGAAATACACTGCCGACTGCAGTTGCCCCCCCGGACTGCCCGCCAACCATGAAGCTTACATTGATGTTTCCATTCGTCCTGGTGTCTGATTTATGTCGTCAAATTCCACTGTGCACCGGCTCGAGATGGTCGCCCATATTCCCTAGGACATTTTCTGTTACAGTGTACTGGAAAACTGCCGAGTCTTTTGACCTGGCAGCGTTCTCGGCAGCACAGAGTTGTGCATCCGGCGTGCAGAATTCACGCTAGTTGTGAAGCATCTGGCATACCATCTCCACTTGCAAATTACTCTTTTGGCCATTCTTCTTAACTCCCAGGCTGCGACTACTTGGTAAACTGTTCTACAAGCATGCACACTTTTGAGCGAAGGACGGAGAATATTATAGACATTTGGCCTCGCCTGTAACTCCTGTACTTGAGACTCTTACAGTAGTCCGTAGTACAGGGGGGCCCGAACAGTCAAAGTACGCTTAGTACAGAGGAAGTCGAACCACAAGTTTCCTGAGTTCGCCGCGAATGCTGTGTGTCTGAGCATGGAGCCCCCTATAATGGGTTGTGCCAGAGATCAGGCTGGATCAAGGCACGCAGTTATCGGACTGCGCTGTGTCTGCGCGCGCTTATGACTACTGCTCTGTGCGGTGGAACGCCTTAACCAGAGCCCTTGATGCTGCATCAGTTACTACGGCCGGTGAAGGGACGAGGAAAGACAGAATGGGGTCGATGCTGGGGCATCCATCTGCACGGCAAGTCGGCGCGGCAAGGGAGGAGGGAGCGCGGCTAGTGCAGCGCAAGTCTGTCTCACTACAAACTAATTCACGCGCAAGGCATCCGCGCTTCGCCCATTTCGTGGGGGACGCAATGGCGTCGTCGCTTACAACGGTCAAACCTGTGAGCTATTCTAGACGACCTGTCAGGCTATTGGTGCAACTTAATTTTTCTGTGACGATTATTTCCGTTCACCCAGTTCGAGTCTCTTTGCAGTCTGTCTATATTTCGACAATTTTGTATTTTAGCTCAAAGACGGAACTGCTCAATCATCCATAATTTTCTACTAAACAGAAATGAAGACGACGGCATTGTCAGTCATTTTGCCCATTCTACTGTTAACACAAAATGTGCAGTCCAAATTTCGCAATGAAAGTGAGTGCTGATTTTGGTTTCTTCAATGGTCCGCGTTTCAGTTGTCTAAAGTCACAAGGCGTGCTACGCCGTCTCGGTATCTCAGATGATAGAAACTTAAGGCATTTGGATTGGAACTTAGATACGTAAAGCGTGATCTTCAGTTACCAGCATTTGGGTTTAACTCCACTGTATTAAATTTCACAGACCACTAAGACTATGGCAAGAATATTTAGCATAAATGCAAGGGGAACACTCAAAAAGATGAGATGAACTTGAATAACAATTTCCCGTTGACCCTGAGACGATCTGCGTTGCCAACATCTCTCCTGTTCTCTCATTGGATGTGGAAGGTCTTTTCATCCCCAGGCAACTCGAAGGGGGCCGTTGAAAAGTGCCTGGAGCGGCCGAAGTATTCGGTCACAGATGGCAAAGAAGCGAATTAGATTGCCAAATCTTCCTCGCAATAAAACCGGAAAACAGACGGACATAATGCGGCTGGGAAGACGGCCTCAATGGATTGCCGTAGGGGTGTAGGAATTTGGTGGAATTTTCGTTGAAACCGCTGGTGACTGGGGGGAACAGTTCTCCAGACGGTGGCGTAGTGGCGCCCGTCACCAGTGAAGCAGCAGAGAAAGAGAATCGGATTGGAGGGAGGGGGAGGTTGATTAAACTTCAAGAAGCACTAGGAGAGGTGGTCGGCCCGATGTAACATATCCTCCATGGTGTGTAGTAATGTGATGAGTTGGCCTTTAAGTCGCTCGATCTTCCAGTTAAGTGCCAAGACGTGGCTGGATCCGAATGCATCTTCACAAGTTGGAGGGGGGGGGGGATCGAGAGAATTGGGACTCGAACTGGGCGGGCAAGAGTAGCCTTGGAGAAAACATCGAGAATGGTGATCCCCACGGCTGAAGAATGTCCTGATCACAAACGCCGCTCATACGTTTGACAAGATGATAATATGCGGCCTCTGGGAGAACTGGTCGACGTAGACGCGGAGTTAGGAGCAGTCACTAGACAGAGACGGGGGTTTCACGGTGTCCAGGTGCATATGACTGAATCCAGAACCGAGGATGAGAGAAGTGTCCGGTTTAGCCCGATTATCGCAGTGGACTTTGCTGTGCTGGCGTCTCAACCAAGTCGAAGTACAAGCCTTGAAATTCTTCATACCGGGCCAGATGAAACTGCCAACGACCATCTCATCCTTGGTTCGGCTGCCTGGATGGAGGAGGTGGTGAAAGGTGAAGGAGATCGATCGGCGTGGGGATCGGAGCACAAACGGACGGTAGAACGGGATGATGTTACCCCAGAGGATGGCGCCAACGTTGGTCATCACAGGGAGGCCCTGGAATTAGGGACTGGGCACAAACTCATTGTCTGAAATGATGAAAAGTTATTGTTCTATGGCCATGACTCTGAGGTGGATTCAATGAGTCGGTTGCAGTGTGAAGATGGTGGACCTGAAAAAAGTACCCGTCACCTCACTCCGCGCTCCGTCAAAATGGCAGGCATCAGAGGAAAACCGGGAGATGTAGTCCAGTTGGCGGATTTTCCGGAGATTGAGCTTGCCAGGATACAGGCACAGGACTGTAGATAGTGAGGTTCCTGCCTTTAAGGAAGTTCTGAAAGTGCTTCAGTGAAATGTAGACGGCGAGTAGTTGGCGGCCGAATATGCCCTAGCAAGTCACGGCAGGTAACGGCCTTGTGGTTAAAAAAGCCTAAGAGTTGGGTAGAACATGCGACGCAGTGTATTGATACGGTACTGTCGGTAGCTCTGGAGGCATCTACTACCACGAAAATGAGTGCGTCGATAGGACGAGTGCTCTGTTCCCGTAATCTCTGACCCAAGACAACGTCGGACGACGTGACGGTTTCACCAGTATGAAATTTCGTGAGTATCGTTTGACTTAGTTTCAAAAAGCCTCTTCTGTTCAATACACGAACCGATGCATTTTTGTCACTTCATCCTCCGCGCAAGTTCGTTGGATTCGCTGTTCACTTAAGGCACACTTTGTCCAGCCGTCACCATCTATTATTGTGAGTCCTTTGATACTGGAAGCTCAGTCGCGAAAGCTTTTTTGTGAAATCAACACTGACTACTTAATCTGACTTGATTTGTAGTTCACTTGCGGCTATAAACGCGACTACCCGGTTAACCTATCTCCTCCCCGACAAAATTTGTTAATCGTTTAGACCGAGAAGCATAACCCCTGCTTAACTCAGACGGTTTTCTCGCCTGACAAATTCGGATCTCCCAGAGTTAAAAATAATCCCTTTCATCATAAATGACCAAAAACTATAAGAATTAATAAGCACGCTCCTTCTAGTTGTCAAATGTGTGTTCGGAAATCCCGATTCAAGGGGTATCCCCCACCACGAACTATAGATACGATCTGAGTGTTTTATTCAGAAAAGGAAGGTAGCATCTACCTGGGTTGTTGTGCCTGCCCGACTCTGTCAAAATTTGAACTTTTCGTTCCCTTTCAGGCGCGCATTGGTCTCCCTCCGTGGAAAGCCCCCTGGTAAGCTACCTCCTCAAGAAGTACGATGAGATCGGACACATCGGCAGGCCTGTGCGTAACACCAGCAAGAGGGTATCGGTTGCCTTCGGTCTTTCCTTGTTTCAACTGATGGACCTGGACGAGAAAAACCAGCGACTGACTCTTAATGTCTGGAACAAAATTGTAAGCCACTCCCTGTGCTCTATGTTGCCTCAAACCCGCAAATCGATGGCATTTATCGCAGAACGATATTGCCTTTGCTGTAGATAATGGTGGTTGTGCCGGTGATGGTGATAGAGGCGGTTGGTGTGGTGGTGGTATTAGAAGTAGTAGTGTCGTGATAGTAGTAGTAGTGGCGGTGGGTATGCAGGCCAATAAATTGAATATTTTCCGGTCGAATGTGGTTTTGGTAGCCCCACTTGAAGTAAACAAACCCCAATCACCTCTAATACGGCACCGGTGGTAATAGGGGTTTTTACAGGTGGAGTCGGGTAACGCACAGGAGACGAGGTCAAGTAGTTGTATGCAAAATAAAAGCTATTGGGAATGCGTGGTTGCACTTTAAGCAGTTGAGAAATAGTTGCACTAACCCCCAACCCTAATCCCTAACTACAACTCCCTAATCCTAAACCCTAACCCTAACCCGTAACCTCTACCACAACAGTATTGTGTCCATCGGGTGGGGCTACCAAACCACATCTTATCTATTTTCCTTCAGCAAAAAAGTATAAGTAGATTCCAGTATTTCCCTGTTCGAATTGATGAACCCGGACGAGGAGAATCAGCGACTAACTTTTAACGTCTGGAGCACAAGTGTTAGCCACGCGTTGTGCTTTCTGTTGCCTTAACCCCGCAGATCGATGGCATTTAGCATAGAACGATACTGCCCGTGGTGGTAATGGTGGTGGAAGCCTATTTATAGCACCCCCCCCCCCCCCACCGTCATACAGGCCTCGCATATTTGACGCACTGCGACGTCTTTGGGATGCAGCGAAAATCTCCTCCTCCGACTAGCCGAAATCGGGTGCCTCATAAGAAAGCCCAAGTTCTGGCAGGTTTCTGCGCCAGTTTCGAAGTCAGTAGCGTCACTTATTCACCAGACGAATAAGAATAATAAGGTAGTGTGTGGGTGTGTGTGGAAGAAAAGAGTGCAACAAGAATGCGTGGAAAACTTCCCAGTGTACAGTAGTCAGAGTAAGGAGTCTTTCGACGTTAGATTGCCTCTGCCCCGTCTCCCGACAGCTGCACCCGATTTCGATTTCCTGGACTGACAACGCGATGTACAACCCAAAGTGGACATTCCAATCTTGTCCGCATTTATTGGCGAAAATTCTCGTCACCCTAAGCAGCACTGGCTGCAGTGGTTTCTAGAAGTTTATTCTGTTGAATTCTAGGATCTTTGTATCGTCAAGTTAAACCTAGAAAAACTACTGACCAACCGAACAGACGTTTTCTTTCTAGACTTGGCGAGACGAGGTGCTAACCTGGAACCCAAAGGACTTCATGGGATTAACAACCATTCGTCTTCCTGTAAATCTCATCTGGACGCCTGATATAGTGCTTTATAACTAGTAAGTCATACTGCAATCTGGTCAGAAGAAATTTGTTTGTTTCACTAAAGAATTTGGACTAATTTGAAGTGCACGAAGACGTAGAGTCGTCTTCCCAACCAAAGGCGACTTCGGGATGAGAGGAGTTGCAAATGTAAGAGTGCCGACGATGCGTGGAAACAAATCTGATGAAATCTCAGCGATAGTCCAACCGTTGCACGCGAGATTTTCACCATGCTCCGGGTAACAAGGCGTGCTCAAGATAGTGACTAGTCCCCGAATTAGCCCGTGGTAACAACAGGCTTGCCCAGCATTTGCCACACACTCCCTCTCCTCTACCAGCCGGTGCAAAGGCAGAGTCAGGATGACTGGGAGTGGATGTGGTCGCAGTGGTTGAAAAGCCTGGACAGTCCGTCTACGCGTGCCACGCACGACATAGTCCTGGTGGATATATCAAGGTGGGTGTGAGGACGCGGGCGCCATTTCAAGAACAGTAAAATTACGGATGCGAATTATCCACTTGTCAAACGGTCGGTAGTAAATTATTTTGGCCGTACATTAGCCTTGAAAATCAGTCGACCAAATTCAGATAACCCAGGCAGTCTTTTGCACGAATGAGGTCAACGTGGGCTCAGAAGACTGAGACGATGTCCCGATGATATCAAGCCTGTAGTAGCGGTTGTGCAACTATTTACATGTGAAAGGGTGTTTGAGGATTTTAACTACACTTTTGAAAGTATGAGAGCATATTCTGATTGGTAAGTGAGTGTCTGTATCACGTTTATTCTATACACCACGCCCTGATAGGAGACAATGCAATGATGTAGGTCGTCGTCAGGCAGGCCCCGACTTTAAGATCAATCGGTGGTGAATCCTTAATTGTTCCCGCGGTAAATCTCGGGAACGGGTTAAATAAGGATTGTTTTAATTGCAGTATGTTATTACCGACAAAGACAAGCGATACTGGAATGGCCATTTCTGGCTTATTAGCCGGCGTCAGCCAGTCATACCCAACCCCGAAATATGGAACACCCGAGCCTCGAACTCGCGACCTGTTTGTCCACGCCTCTAACCACTGGGCCACGATCCCTTTGCCCTGTCGGTTTCGATCGGGAATATACAACGGTAGGGGGCGCTCACCGATCGTTTATACGGTATTCACTCGTTCCGTTGTGCCTAACGGGCTCTCTCTCTCTCGAGCCCAACCAGCAGTCGCACAGCGGCGCATGATATAGCAAGACAAAGCCATTCCAGTCTCCCTTGTCTTTGTCGGTAATTACATTCTACCTATATCATGCGCCGCTGTGCATGAGCGTCCCCTACCAGTGTTTTAATGGCTGTGTTCAGACGTTATCCCGAGGTGTGCGTTCGTCTGCGCAGTGACAATGTAGCCCCAAACGGAGAACCCAGGCCATTAGGTCAATAAGGTAACCGGAAAGAAATAGCTAGAGGGAGCACATTCTATCAGTCGCCAGGTTTGGGACCAGTTACTTGAGCCATTGTGATTACTAGCAGAGTTCGTTCAGCTAATCGAAAGTTTTTCGTGAAGCCCAACGCCGAAGAAAGCATTGCAGGCGTTGTTGGATTACATGGAGAGGCCAACAAGCTTAGGCAAACTACGATGCATCGGCGTAAGTTGTTCTCCATTTAAATTTTGATGTCCTTATCTGAGGACTTTAAACCACCTCGGCTAGCAGGCAATCCTTTGTTGCCTCCGCGTGACATTTATCACTTTTCCAGTGCTGACCTGCGCCTCCGAGAGCAGAGGGACGTCCTGGTGGCTGTGGACTATACAGGCATGGCCTTCTGGAGTCCTCCGGCCATTTACAAATCCACCTGTCGCATCGAGATGAAGTACTTCCCCTTCGACTATCAAGTCTGCTACCTACGCTTTGCCTCCTGGACACAGGACAGCCAGAAGCTGGACCTCACATTTCACGATAATCGTTCCGAAGTCACTTTGGAGGAGTACAAAAAGAGCAATGAGTGGAGCATCGTGGCCCGACCCGCGATAAGACGTCTGTTTAAGCAGACCTGCTGCCCAAACCAGTGGCCTAGTCTCATTTTTTTCTTGGTGTAAGTCACAGTCCATTCATTTAGGTTCGTAGATTGCTGGTACTAGGCTAGTGCCTGCGTTTGGAAGTCTAAACTGACATGCTCGAGTCTGCGAACAAGACTCTGGCACCACAACTGGATTCTGAGAAAGCCCGTTACGCATCCCCTAATTGATCTGTCGGTACGCTTGCTAGCCAGCCGTGATCCTCACCGGGCTTATTGCAGCTAGTGGCAACCGTTCCCTTACGCATACAAATTCAATTCGCTGATTGGTCCTCAGTCGTCCAATCAACGGCCAGGAGAGAGCGTCCACCGGTTTGATGCTTTCGCGGCGATTTCCCGTCGCTGCGACGCCGGTGCTCGGCAGCGGCGGAGTTTTGCTACCAGTTTCGTTTTTTCCCGTGCGCAGTTTGAAAACTCGACTTAAAATGTGTCTCAAACGAGACCCCATTAGCACGCCTGAGAAGGAAGTCAAAAGGCCCGCCTGACGTTGTCTTTCGCAAGCAGGGTGGCGTGAACAATGTCACAGGCCTCTTTGAGTTCCTGACTTTCGGGACAGCGGCATTCGGAGTTAGGACCCACACTCCGTGGTTCGACCATCGGCAGGTCAGATAGCAGCTTCGTCGCCGTTATTTGCGCCGCATAAGCCAAAAATGTGTCGACTGATTAAGAAATGATCCGCTAGCAGACTGACGGAGATTAGAATTCCGACTACTTTAACGCGTTCCGATACCCTGTCGTTGACTTGATCCAGTACAAATCGGACTCACCGTCGGACACATGACGAAGTGGACTCGGGTTCATTTTGCTGTATTTCCGACCGGATTGAGTTGACCATTCTGGTAGTAAACGTGGCTGAGAGCTTAGCAACCACCAAAGATCCTGAATAGAATTTCCTGTCCTCGCATGAATACTTAATTCTGACATACGCCATTATCTGCGTAACATGACGATATGCCCAATGACTCCAATGGGGCGAGACCAAAAGCAAAAAAAGTTAAACCGTGGGTCTATTCTTCTCTGGCCCGTAGTAGTGGGGTTCACTGATCGCTCTCCAATCATCAGGTTGATAGATGATCCTGTGTCGATTTCGGCCAGAGGAACTGCAGACGCCACTCAGGTAGAGGTTGAAGTACTTGTTCACCGGCGATATGACTCCGACAGTTGATCTCCTCTGTACTGCTCACACCACAGGCCAAAGCCACCTGATGCGTACAGGCGCCCTGTTTCATGAAGTTAGTCTTCTAATCAGTAAAATGACGGTGACTAGACGCAAGTATTCTGCCAGCGGCCGTCACATCAGCGCCAAGGGTCCTCGAGACCACCGTGACCCAGGGAGGTCCAACTGGTCCTGGCTTATTCAGACGTGTTGCCAAACCCAGGGGGAATCGTTTCTATCCCGAAGAATTCCTTCACTGAGGACGTAGCCAGCCCTTATGTTCTCAAGTGCCAGCAACTTTTCAGATTTCCACTGTCGCGGACGCGTTCAATGTTATCCCTGTCCTGCACGTTAGTTTTGGGAAAGTAATTTTTGAACTCTCTCGCCTTACAAGTTTACTACAAAGACAGTTTGAATAAACGGCCCGTAGAAAAGGATCCCAGTCTTCGGCTGAAGGGTGTGCAGACTAGCGGTGGCCCGATACGAACACAGAGAAGTTGGGGTTCTGACTGTGCTTAGAATTGTATAATTCACATCGACCCAACTGTGAAAAACTCGGCGCCTCAGTGGGCGTTTCGAACGCACGCAGTACGGGGAAGGCTTTAGTACAGCTAACGTTCTAACCACTTGAGCTAAGAGGCCCCGCTGGACGTCGCGAGTTTTTTTTCAAAATCTGCCAAAACATCTACGAATTACGTAAGCCTAGTAGTCATCTGGTGGATTCTAGGTGAATTACTAAGGAAATCCTGCCTGGGCAGTCAGCTTACTGTATCAGATTTGGTGGATTCCAATCGTTGCAGTAAGTTGGGCGGGTAATTTGACCCAAATGTGATTAAACTCGTGTCGTCCGGCGCGGCCTCGTAGCTCAAGTGGTTAGAGCGTTGGCTGTACTAAAGCCTTCTCCTTACTGCGTGCGTTCGAATCCCACCGAGGCGCTGAATTTTTCACAGTTGGGTCAATATGAATTATTCAAACTCTGCCAAAACATCTTAGAATGACGTTCTCTGCTCGGTAAGGCCTACTTTCCTCTTTTCTGTCCCCCCCCCCTCCCCCGAAGGCTGAAACGAAACTCCTCCTTCTACGCCTACCTCCTCGTGCTTCCCTGCTTACTGCTGGCGTGTCTGAATTTGGTCGTCTTCTGGCTTCCGCCGCAGGTTCCTGCAAGAATGATTCATGGTAAGTGGGGTCACAAATCCTGTTACGGTGCTTTCCTGCATTCGAAAACATCATGCGACCGGAGCTTTCTGGAATAGCAGACTGGGTGATGGGGGACGAGACTCCGGTCAGCAGTACATTCTCGACGGCGCCGACCAGAATGTCAAGTGTGCGAAAGTCTTGCCTGAAGTTTACCGTCGTGGACCAGCGATGAGACTGACAAACCTGAGGCGCCTTGTTCATCTACTAGAACTGACTGCATGGCACTGTGTTTTTAAGGGCTTCAGATCTTTTTGGCAAAAGAAATGGCCAGCGGTACGACAAAAACTGTCATAACGTTTAGTACCTGCCGAATGTCTCGCGTTGGAATCGAAACTGTGCCTTTAATACTGGGTGCTGTACCGGAGAATAGGAAGATAAAGTACATATTTTCTCAGACTGTGTAGCAGGCTCCCTTGTCCTTGGGAGTCCCTCTCGACGCCTGATATAGCCATACAAAATAATCCCATACTGTTTAAGGTGTAGTTGTCCGTTTATTCTCGATGCGCATGCAATGTTACTCATTTACTGGGAACAGCTAACAACCTGCTCACAAATTACAAAAAAGGTGCTGAGTTTTATTTGGCTTTATTATTTGAAATTCGGAATTTTTTCGGCCTGGAAGACTTCTATGATTTTATGACACTGCTGAGATCTTTAAGGTGGACATAGGGTACTTCAACGAAATATAACGACTTCTCGGGAAACCGTTTTTGAATCTATGCTCAGGATTTAGGCTGTCGCAAAACCGCCATACCTGATATTACATTAATTCTTAGATGATATTTGGATTTAACTGTCACCAAGAGATTATTTTTTGGTTTATTTTACTTGTACTTTTAGTATCTACTCGTTTTTTGCATGGACAGGCATTCTCTCAAGCTAAAATCAGAATTTATTCAATTACAACCATTTTCGAAATTTTTCGCCCTTCTGAAAAGACTTATATTTCTAGACAACGTAGTGTTACCTCTACTACTTTTTTGCGTCCCCAATTTCCTTAAAGTTGTTCTTTGCTAGTATAGATATTGGGTCCATCCATTTGTGCCAGTTTAGAAGTGGTTAGTTATCATTCGTCAATTCCGACGCCTTCCATCTGTTAGACCACTTACTTTGCGTGATTTGGCGGCTCGTAGTTCAATTGATTTTCTCCATTTCCACATTTAATTTATGTGGTTCTTCGGCTAGCCCGTCAGATATAGGTGTTTTTCCGAACGCACTTCGATATACGGGAGATGACCAACAAACACAAGGGAGCCTGAAATGGCTATTTCTGGCTTACTAGCTGTCATCAGCCAGCCATATCAAGCCCCAAGTTTAGAAATGGAGACCTTTACCCATTGATTTAAGTGCTCAAGCATTGAGCCACAGTCCCGTTGTTCCGTCGGTTACGATCAGGTACATTAATTTTCGTAGGAAAGAGCCCTCACTGATCGCGTTGTGAGGCCTGCTCGTCCCATTGTGCTTTGAGGCCTGATTGCAAACCGACCAGTCTAATATAAAGATGGGGATTTCCGGTAAGCTGCTCCGAAGCAATCGCATCCGCTCGAAAAAACTCTTTTCCTTACTGCTAGACAGACGATGTGGACTTCCGCTCAATCCGAACTCTTATATCACCCTTCTAGCACAGTTTCCAATATTCGAAAAATGAAGTCTACTCCCGCCCAGGTTTCCTATTTACCATGACATTAGCTGGCTTTAATTAAGTTAAAGTCGAGGTTTCGGGGAAGGATGTCTACGAACAAAAAAACAAAGCTAGTTCCATCCTTCCCCCTCCCTGAAATTATGGTTTGCTCAGACAGAACTTGGTCACAAGGTATGCAGCTCACCCGTTCCCGCTGAGCTGTTCTAACCCGCATGGGCATATTTGCATGTTGTGTGCTGGATCGACATTTGCCTTTTACCAGCTCGATCAAACCTTTGTTTTTTACTTATTAAAGGCATGAACATATTTGTCGGCTTTTGTATCTTGCTGAAATTCCTGACGAACGCAACACCATCGGCGTCCAACACTATTCCCTACCTTGGTAAGTAAATACCTTGGAGAAATGCCAGTGTTGACAATAGGTGTGCCAGTTCATAGGAATTCGAATGGTGACAAAATTTAAAGAACTTAGCTGCCATCAATACACCGCCTAGATCTATCAGCGAAGTGTGCGTGTGTGTGTGTGTGAAGATTGGCCGGCTCGGACGGTCGAATGGTGCCCGGGAAGGGGTAGAACAAGTGAGGTCGACCTTCAGCACATAATTTCTCACTCGCGCTCGAAGCCGTCAGGGTGCGCTAGCAGCCGTGGCATGGAGGGTTGCCAATTGAAGATTCCACTCAGGCTACGCAGTCAGTCCAGTGTGTGCTTGTGCGTCGAGTGGCCGACTACTGCATGGGCCTACTAGATCACTTGCGTATCCAAGGAAGCGGAATTTACCGTAACATCGACGCATCACGCATACCTTACACACTCAACGACTCCAGCCCTACCAACAATCCATCCACCGGCGCGGCCGCCACTAGCAGCAATAACAACCCCAACCGGCTCAACATCTCCCAGCCTATCCTGTCCACACTGCCACCGCACATGCGTGTCACGAATCGGCTTGGTGGGTCATTTGGTTCAACCAACCAATGTCAAAAGGCACTCGTCAGCATCGCCTCAGCTTCCCGCATTGCCCTCGCACATTCAGCTATCTCATGAGCCTACTCGGTCCCATGCGCCTCCACGGAAATATGCGGTAAATCACCACATATTTCCCCACCAACGCATTCACTAAACATGAGCACCTCTAACATCGCACAGTGCAGGAACCTCACACGTAAGTTAGTAGTGAGTGCTTCGGCCCCTTCCCCATGTGGCTCCTCTGCTACATGTGTGGTGTGAGCAGTCTGACCTCTGTGTAAAATCCTGATGTGTGTATGTGGGGGGTAAGGTCGTGTGTATTTTGCGCGCAGATGGGCTATGCTTAACTCTTTCAGCCACCACTCCCAGCTAATTGGTGCACGGAGAAGGCTAGAGCGAGTGAGGTTGGCTTTGTGATTGTTCAAACAGAAGGTGCCTCTACTTGCCCCTTCAATTGCGTTTGCCGTGCCTTATCTCCGGCAGCAATGATGTAGAATCGCAAACAGAATATTTCCTAATCTTTTGAATTGAACAAGATATACTTGGAGAGAGAATTTCAACCTTACAGCGTTTCCCGTCATATTTGGAAACGGAGACTGGGATGTCCACTTTATCGAGTTATTTTCATAAACAGTCAACATCCAATCAGGTGGTTCCTTTGGTGGCTTGCTGACTCGCAGAGGGGAGGTCTACTGTCAGGCAGGTCTGATCACACGTATCTTCTCTGGACGCCAGTGAGGGTGGCTGTTGGTAGGCAGAACCCCTAGTCAGTACTATCTGTTCTATGAAGCTACCTTCGTCGAGATGAGCTTAAGAGTTGTCCATGTAGAAAGTCATATTTTGGGCTGTCGCACAAGGACCTGCTTATAGAATCATCCTAGGGATAAATGAGAATAAATTCTTTCGCTTTTCGACTTGGGAGGGAAACTGTATACATCCTTTTACGCTCCTTTTGTGGAAAGTTTTAACGGTTCCAAACTGCCACATAAGAGGAGAAGAGCTAGGCCAGTGCTAAAAGGCGTTGTTGTAATCAAGTACACAGTTTCCAAAAAGCCAGCCGGTTTATAGAACTAATAAAACTCTATGGTTATTTTCATAGGTCATCAAGCCGCAAATCACCACAAAAGTGGGGAAATTCTTCAGGTGAATCTTTGACTCCTAAATCTAGTCATTCTCACCTGACTTTCCACATGAAAACATGGCTCTTGATCAAAGTGGAATTAAAGATCAAGGAATTGACAGCCCAGCGCCTGTCTAATAATATCAGAAATGCGGTTTGAGGGAAGACTGTGAAAGCTCAGCAAGATTTCCACCACCCTCAACTCTGTATTCATGTGTATGCAATGTCCACGAGCTATCAATTAAACTGTTCTGGTTCCTTGCGAGGCTTTGTTTTGTCATGTTCCTTGTGCTGACATTGTGCAGCTCGGATCACTACCTATCTTTCTTGTCAGACCAGCTATCCGGATAAAGTTTGGTTTATTTGAGGCGCAGGAACCAGGGAGTGCTCTACACGCAAGAGAAGGAATTGAATACCGCCGCGTAGATATTAATTGACAGATCATGGTATATCGTGATTCTGTCGATTGATTAGGCCGTGACTCATTCTTATTCCTCCGAACATGTGTATAACGTGCGCGAACTTTGTTATAGTCTTGAAAACAGCTGCGTAGCAACTGAGTCTTAGTTTTGCGTACTAGTTTGGTTATACTAAATTTCCTGGTGGGAGAACTTTTGGCCTTTGATGAAGTCGAACCGCTGATCTGTGAAATTTCAGTCGGATGCTCCGCCATCCAACCAACCGTAGACCGCCTTTGGTCTCGCGCACTTCGATATTCCCGTAATTTCGACTGGATAAAAAACCCCATGTAGTCTGAGTCGAATTTGTACTGGGGTTACCAAGCCAAACCCTTATCGGAGATGAATTGCGATATGCTCCCCGAAATAATTCCGACTATTTTGATAAAGAGGAAGTAATAAACCAGGAAATCTCTGCAGTGGGACAGAGTCGAACTCTCGTGCTTTGGAAATCTGGCTGAGTGCTCCGTCAAGCAGACGGTGGTTCGTCTTCGTCACAGGAGGCAATCTGCCGGTAGTGGGAAGTGTCCCATAATTAAAAGCGCCTCCTGGTGCTATATTTAATGACTAAACTACTGGACCATATGCTAGTCCTTATCAATCCTAACTTTTGATCGGTAGGAGACGGTGGTATGAACGTCCTGTAATACAGGTGGCCTAGAGCTAAATTCAGGGAAGGGTCAATAAAAGCGAAGAGACGAGTTTCAGGAAGTAGTCTTGAAGAAGGAGACACGATCGCTGGGAAAAGAGCTTTATTAGCCTTGTGATAGGGGTAGCATGGCGACTGCATCCTATAAATACAGTAGCCGCTTGTGCATGAACCACCTGTATCTGCTTTTGTCTCTGATGATGGGTTCGAGCAGGAATCTGAAACGTCAGGCTAATAAAGCTCTTGTCCCATCGATCGTGTCTCCTTCTTCTGGGAAGGGTGCCTTTTCCTGTGTCCTAGCACTGACCGTAGCCTAACCCTGACCTCAATTCAAACCTTGATCTTGATTCTAACCCATATCGCCCAGAACTTTAACGCAAGGTCACCTGCATTATGGGAAATATTCTCATGCCTTCATCCTACTCATTCATCTTCGGGGATGTAATCAGCGACCGTCAAATGCATTTGAGTGAATTATGCTTCTGAGAGTTTTATAGGATTTTTACTGATTTTTTTCAGGCTATTACTGCTGTTTGAACATGGTCCTCATCGCAATCTCCACTTTTATATCGCTGGTCGCGGTGAATTTGCACTTCCGATGTGATTCTCAGAACCCACCTCCCGTCTGGTTAAGCAAGGTTAGTTTATAGCAGTTTGACTTTGTTTCGATTCGAAATAACAGACTGAGAACCGCCTTATTCCCAGCCTATGTATTAGTTGCCGCAGCGATCGCTGGTACGGCTAATTGCTCGACACCAGGATCGGTTCTAATGACAAATAAAAGGTTGAGGCAAAGTAGCAGCATACTGCCTCCAGTAAAATGTTATTCATTAACAGCGCAAATAATGGCCAAATAGGGATTTCAGATGCTTCAAGAGAGAAAAGTTACCGAAATTGAAAATTCAATCCCCAAGTTTTGTTACTGTGACGTGTCTACTGATTTGCTTTGAGCAGCCACGTTACATTGGATCATGTCCATAGAAGAGCATGAAAAAAAATTGAACTTGGGGTTAGGGCCTCAACGCCTGTTTTGTGGTTAATAGCGAGTGACCTACAACCATTTTCTGACCAAATGTTTGCCTAGCGTATCCTACTTGACGTTTTTTAAAAAATAGGAAGTACTTATTTGTCACAGGTTTATTGAACTGCCGACGTTTCGGAGAGTTTGGTCGGCTCACCATTGTTAATGTTAACCGTACAAAATCGAACGGATATTCAAGTGACTGAATGAGCTCGTCGGCCTTGAGCTGATCGATTTTTTCTTTCTTCCGCGCCTGGGCCACCTGGCGGATGTTTGACGGGCTTGGTAACTCCGAGCCTTATGAGTCATCGCCTCGGTGGCGGATGATTGGGCCTCTGAAGGGGGTCGTTCGATCTGATTGCTCTTTTTTCTCCGCCGTCGGGGAAGTCCAGCCTCGGGCCATGTCCGCACGCCTTTCTTGGGTTCTGCGCGGTAGCCTTGTCCTGGTCTTTGTGCATGTAATTACGTGGAAGATCAGGATGTCTGTTAGTGGATTTGGTGTCGGAACACCCCGCCTAAAGTGTTGCTCGCCCTGTCCCTGAACCGACCCTGTCCAAGATGGTCGCTCCTTGAAGGTCAAAAGGATCGCCAGTTTCTTCAGTGTGAGCTGTTAGTTGAGTTTGGATCTAGCCTCCTAGTTACCGGTTTGGGCTCCTGTAGGCGGGTCTGCAAATGTCCAGTCTCCATCATCATAACTTGTTCTGTAGACAACTTCCGAGGTTTCTTTTACCAGCTAATATTTACTCATTGTGGCGTTTTCGAGAGAGATTTACCTTTTAATTACTGGGCTCTTTTATAATGTGGCGAACTATTATAAAATGGTCTTTTCGTTGTTTCGACAGCACCAAACACCACCCTTTCGGCTCCACCAAGATGCTGTCTAATCAGGTGTTGGTAACTTCTTGCGCTTAAGGATCGATTAACTGGGGCTTGATCGGTCTGTCTGCGCCCGTTTCTGTTTTTCATTTTCGATTATATTCTGACTTAGTACATATCCACATTTTTTATTCTAGGGGACGCTTTGTCCTCAGACAGTTTCGCCTTAGTAGTACTGGGCGATGCGTTTAAAAGTGCTTCGAAGGGCTGGGTACACACAATATGCGCTTCTTTATCTCTCTGCCGTTAAATTAACAGGCCTAGGTGTCGTGCTGCAATGCGACTGTACCTATACACTACCCTAAAACATGCTCTAATGAACGAATACATTAATGCCGTTCATGAACTTCCCAAGATGTAACATTAAAGTCAAACAGAAGACACCAGACAAATCAAAGGGAAGTCGAGTTCAAGCATGCGGCCTCAAAGAATCGGATAGATGCCTATTTGGCACTTTATTCAGAGTCTGCGCTTAAATTGCCCTTGGGATCATTTTACTTAGCGAGCTCACTGGCTTCTCGTCAACACAGAACATACTACTTTTTCCGATGTGTAGCGAAACTTACGCCCAAAGGCAGCACTGTAAACCAAACTGCCTATAAAAATTAAAGTTAAGAAGTCCCCTTACTGCTGGTCTGCACTTGTCCTGAGGGCATATTCCGCAGCTCTATTGGAAAGTAATTGACCCTCACTGTTATGGAGAGTGCAAACGGCGTACAGCCACGGCCTAAGGGGCTGAACAGGGGACCAAGTCGGCGGCGTGAGACACGCGTGAAGTTGAACGGCCGACCGGCGTGCAATACAGCGCCGAACACGTGTGGTGGCTTTGCTCACGCTTGCGGCCCAATCAATGGCTGGTCGAACATTCCAGACGTTTCCGCGGGGGCTATCGTGCACGCGATGGCCAATCAGCGATCAGAATGCCTGGGGCAGGAACATTTTAGAACGCCCTCAGCGGCTGGCACCTCATTGGACGGAATGTTCCAGAGCACACAGGATCCAATATAAATAGCGCACCTTTCTTACGAGTTGTAACGCCCTCCTGTCCGCAAGTTACCACTATAGTGCTTGTCCTCCGAACCGGCTATCTTCCTGTCCTACCTTCCTTCCGGGTCATAACACTCACCTACCGTGTGCTAAGCGGTGGCTACCAAAAAAAAACCAGTAACCGACAAAACTGACAATGAAATACAGGCAGGAGTGCTGAGGAGACTGGGATGACCATTTACGACTTACCAGCTGTCGTAGGTTAGGCACGCCCGGTCACTCAAAGACCTGGAATGCGAACCCAAGTCCTTTGACCATCAGACTCATGATAGTTCAACGTTCCACCCTCTTGCCACTGGACGACTTTCATGTCGTTTGCGTCTGGGAATATGGGCTGCCGTATCATGGGCGTTCAGCGACCAGGGTACGGGACAGACTCGTCTCATTGCGCTTCGGAACTCAGTCTAAAGCCCTCGCGGTCAGTCGCACAGCGATTAGTAACTATCGAGTTAATATCCTCCGGTTTCCACAGACGGGGCGACGGGCCTGTGGTTCAGTGATAGTGTGTTGAACTCGTTGGAACCATATTCTGTCCTTTGGCTTCCTTACATTCTTCCTTATCCTGACCCTCGTTTAAATTATCTGGAGTCAGAAAGGACACACTTGTTTTCGGAAGATGAACAGCTTAAGGGTAGACTGCGCATGGTGAGATTGCTTTACCTCAACCTAGTCTGTCTTCCTTTTCTGTTTACCACAAATGTAAGTCTGTTGACCATTTCACCCGGTACAGAACATGGGAGACGGCAAACTGAAAGACAGATTAGTAAAGGCCACAGATATAACGCTTAACGACCAAAAGATCTGGGTGCGAATGCAAGCTCGTTCATACCTGGGGATGGAGTACGGCTTACTGACGAATATTGATGAGCCAGAAATGGTCTCTATTGACTTTGTCGGTACTCCTATCTGCATGCGGACCGGTCGATGTTTGGCGAGGGGTCCAAATTCAGCCCGGCCCGCAATCCGATCGGTGTGTGCCCATTCACCTTTGTGATTATCGCAGGTTATGCGTTTAGGTCACTAGCACAAACTCCGTTAAAGTCACCTCTGATCCCAACGTGCTGACCACAGATATATTTTCGTTTAAGCTCAACGTGGCTTGCGGTTATGAAGGGTAAAGATTTCTCTTTTGCTTTGGAATTTCTAAGGCCCTCTCTTTCTATTTTGCCTTCAACAGATTGTCGACGTAGCTACCGGTCTCCTCGGTCTTAGGATGGGCACAACTCGCGATGCCGATGAGAAACTCAGCGTCAACAAGTATGAGCTGCGAGCTACAAAGAAGCTGGCTCAGAGTATGCGACACTCTCAGTTCGTCGGTCGGGACTGTCCGCACTGCCGGTGGAACGCAGCTCCCAAGTGTTCCTGTTGCTGCTGCCTGGATGCCCAACAGAAACAGACGGTTGGTCAGCGGCAGCAGCAGCAGCATGTCTGTTGTTTCTCGGCGCCTCAAGCCCCCACCACCACCACATGCCTCTGCCAGCAGCGGGAGCAGCTGCGTCCGAGGGAGATAGCCTGCTGCTGCGTGGGCCACCATCATTGTGGCCATGAGACGGTGACCTGCCCGGCAGCACATCATGCCTGCTTCAAGCCGGCACCTGTCCACCCCCTGAGCTGTGCTCACTGCGGCAGATGCAGTCTCCACAAGCACTGCGGCAGGAGACCGGACACGCAGGAGTCCACAGTAGTCTGTCGTCATAACTTGCAGAGTCAGGCTCATCTGGGCGCCGGGGCTCACGGCCCGGAACACTTGGAAGCGCACTCGATGGCCACAAACCCGACCAAAGTGGAGGAGACGCCAGAACGCAGCTCCACCACACAGTTGGCCTCCTCTTACAACGGTGTGGCCTCAGTGCAGACCTCAGCCCAGCAGATGGAAGCCAATTTGGCGGAAATTAAGCGTGCCCTAAAGAATGTCATGACGAAGATGGGAGAAAAGGACAAGAAGGCCAAGAGAGCCAATGAGTGGGCCCTGTTGGCGCTCGCGGTAGACAGATTCTGCTTCTGGGTCTACCTGGTATTGATAGTTGTTTCGGGACTGGGCATGTTGATTCCGACGTCATTCTCCTATGAAAAGGAGGATATAACGCAGATGTTTGACAAATTTAGATCCAACGCATAAAAAGACCAGCTCATCTACCCCTCCGCATGTGGAGGCGTGACTCAGTCTCCCCAGTGTAGCCTTTGCGCGTAGAATACAGACAGGTGTTGTCAAACCAAGTTGATTCCGCCAGTTCAAGAGACCGCATTGAATCATATGCCGGCAGAAAACGATTTTACCAGCTCAACGCTTTTGCAAACACTTTTTTCTTCCAGACGATTTTTCGCAGACCCTCCACCCCGTATTCTGTGTTTGCGTTTCCAGTTCTCCAATTGTGCATGTGGTTTAGCATAGAGTACTGCACTTAAACCCTCATTTTCCCGCGCAAGAAAATGACTTTTGCGTAAAAATGCCCGATCCCAGGTCGGAATCGGATCAAAAGTCCAAGTGTAACGGATCAACTTCCTCTTATAAAGACGTCGGAAACAATTATTTAGGATTTCGCATTCTGGCAGCTTGATTGATAACTGGACTGAGGAAAGCCATAATCTTTAAAATAAAATGTGCACTTGCAAAACCTTCGCAGTGACATGGATGCCTGTAAAATGTGACAGCTCAAATATCCAGGTGATGCTATAGAACAGAACAGAACTTTCTGAGTGACATGTGGTCGAACAACCAACCTAATTGGAAACTGTTATTGCAACTGGATGTTCCTGGAACACAGATCACCCTCCTTCCAAAGAAGACATCAGGGACTTAAAGTGACCTTTATTGACACTTGTTTAAAGGGCAGTACAACGGACAGCATAGCTTTCGTATGAAAACACAAGCAAGAACGTACAGAGCGGAACACGTCGATACTGCTCGTAGGACTTCAAGAAAATTCCCGACCTAGGCGTAAAAGTAGCAGGACATTTGTTTCCTCTAGGCGATTTGTTGGCGCTGGGCGCTCTTCACATCTTGACGGAGGTCCTAGTTCCTGGTCTGATATCTATAAACGGTCTGCAGGGAAAGCAATACGATTTTGCCGAGCGTTGATGTTAATGTCTGTCATGATTGGAAAATATGTCTGAACTAATTTTAGATTTGATAACGCATTTTATTGCGTGCTATTTCCATTTACAATTGTTAAATCTGCTTCAAGAAGAAAAAGACAAGTGTTCGCCTCAGTCGCAGTCATACCTGAGGCTTATGGATTCTTTTAAACCATTTGACAAAATGGCAGCTGATGATTACAGCATTTTATCATTCAGGACACCGATGAATCATCGCCTTACCAGAGAATGGCAATATCTTGGAGGTCTCTGTCCGATCATCACTCTTATTCGAATCGACAACCGGTCATCTACTAACGGCCGATGCGCATTAATACGCCGCATTCGATCAGCAGTGTTTAAAAGACAGTGTGGTTAAGGTAGCAATGAAAAATCGGGCTGCCCTCTACTTCGACGTTCAGTCGTACGACTTTGAAAATTAATCAGAAATCGGACCTTCAAACAACCAAAAACGGCTTTGCGCAAATTCCAGTTTCGAACCTTTGAACAAATCTTATCTCCCGAGCGCGCACTAATTTTAGAAATCATGCTAAATGACGTCTTCTAAACCATTATCTTGAGCCAGGCGTTCATCTGAAAATCATGCTGCGTCACGGTGGAATGAAACTTTGAAGCATTGAGTACTTGATCTTCGCGGTTGTAAAAACTGGACTCCTCACCCACAAGACCGGACGACAACTGGGGGTTTGCAGTCACTACTGCTTGAGAGTGCACCTTTGGGCGAAAAAAAACGAACTGTACTAAAGCCTTCCCCTTACTGCGTGGATTCGAATCCCACCGAGTCGCCGAGTTTTTCAGTTGGGTCAATATGAAAACGGACTTTGCCATGAATTAGGCAGTCTGCACTCCCCGCGACAACGTTGGAAAGATATCCCTGGTCATCCAAGGAAGACGGCTGAAGTGACTTTGGCAGACTCCATCGTTCACCCCATTATTTCAGTACTGCTGCCTTAATCCGACGCGGTCGTCTGACTGAAAGCGACAGAGAGAGGAAAACCTGGGGCTAGGTAGTTGGCTTTCTTCGCTGAAGAACCGAGTGAGTCACACTCTCTAGATCTGTTACCGTTGGTCGTTGCACACATCACTGACACTAATTAAAACTGACCTAATTCTAGCCTTAGCGAGAGATTCGAGTCATTTAGTCAAGTAGGAGAGGTAAACGGGTTACAAAAGGTAACAGTAGGGAAGTGCGATAAGGAATCGGAAAAGTTCTGAAAATGGAACCAAATATTCTCTTTAATTCTGGCTTCTTAATGCCGCTGAGTGTGATTTTCTGGGTTCGTTAATTTGACAGATAAGAGCATGTAAACAGATTCACAGTAGCTTGGGGGACGAAGAGGGCTTTACCTTTGTGTAGCAGGCGGACAAGTCGAGATCCACTGGAACGGCCTGCCATTCAGCTGTCCTTTTCGTGCCGGTGGTGAATGCAGGGAAGCAAGCCCTCTCGACACTGAGAAAATCAATCATAAGTCAATCAAGACATCTGATGATGGAGGACAAGTGCAATTGATAGTGCTCAAAATTGGGAGCGATTACGTTGAATTTTTAAGTCAAAGTTCTGGTGAAAGATGTTAATCGGATCGATTTAGTGAGGTTTTTTGCATCCATTTCAAGCCGGCAAGATAATAGGCGTTAATTTTGAGAAAGAATACATTAGAAGCAAAAACAGGGAAATATGGCATAGTTGAATTAAGTAAACTGCCTCCCACCAATTGGTAGGCTGTTCTTTTACATTGAGAATAAAATTGGACCAGTTCCCCATTCCTAACATAATTACCGAGGATCCACGGAGCGTTTTCGATGGACAGTCCAACTGAACGTCCATTAACCACTCACACGAAAAATTTACCAGGGCCTGCGTAGGATGTGCACAACGAAGACTTCTTTCACCATGCATTTAACCACTAGCGCTCGCAGAATGGCGAGACGTAGTGGTATGGTAGAAAGGTTCTGTTTGTGACACTGCTTTCGCATTGCAGATGGCGTGATCGAAAAGAGAGTCTAAGCTGAAAAGGTTGGTAAGCAGGAAAGTATTTTGCAAACCTTCAGGCGGCATCCAACGGATGGAGAGAGGATTCGAATTTCCCCAAAATTCAGCCATATAGTGCCCAATTTGAACTGGTGGACCATACGAGCACAGGAATCAACACTCGTTACTACGGTATTTCACGATGTTCGGTTAGCGTAGATGTCAACTTCCAATGTTATATTGCGCAACAGGACTAAATGGCACTCTTCAAAGACCCAGAGCGCAAGTACTGGGCTTCAACAGTAGCCACCCAACCAGCCACAAACGCAGTTACTTAGAGGCGCTCTATCGGCGTGTTGAAACACACTGCAGTGAGCCGGATGACAAGACTGCCAAACTACAATTCCTTCGACGGGTGTTTAAAGTTAGTGGCTACTCGCACAACTTCGTCAACCGGTGCATACGCAAACTAGACGAAAGACAAGATCGCACAGACCCTAAATTTTGGCGTGCTTCCGTATGTCAAGAACGTTTCGGAAGCTGTCGGCCGCCCTCTCGCATCACTTGGGGTTGGAGTTACACACAGATCGGAGGCAACCATCAGGAGTCAGGGAATGAAACCGAAAGACCCACTGCCAGGAACGCCTGGAGTCGTTTATCGGATCTGGTGTAGTTGTGGACAAAAAAACTACGTCGGACAAACCGGAAGACTGCTCCGAACGAGAATGGCCGAGCACGCGGCAGCGGTGCGGAGAAATGACGTCAGCCCTCAAGTTGCGGCTCATTCGATGAGATCTGGCCACACATTCAAATTCGACGAGGCCGAAATTCTCGTTAGGGGTGACAACCACGTGAGCCGCGATCTGCTTAAGTCATGGTCCATTGCCCCAGTCTAAAATAAGCACAATGACCTCCCTCTTCTGTATTCGGCCCTTAGACTTAGCCTAGGTAGAGTAATTGGCCACGTGGAGAGCGCACAGGCGAACGCTGTTCCCAATGCCAGGGTCGGTGGATCAGATGGTCGAGCAATCATCACACCAACATCCAACACACGTGATGGAATTGCAACGATTAACTACTCGAATGTCGGCCACTAAACAGTCATCGCACCCAG